AAAAAAAAAAAAAAAAAAAAAAAAAAAAAAAAAAAAAAAAAGAAAATTTATTCTTGCCATATTTTTTGAATAGGGTTTGTTTTAGATTTCATCTCTTACTAACTTCATTTAACAATTAGGATGACCTTCCATCTTTTTGAGAAGTTGATTGTTCAACGTTTGCAACTTAACTATTTCAAATAGACTTTCAGATCATTTAATGGATGAAAATGAAGAGACTTTGAATTTTGATGCCATAACTATCACATTTAATTTGAATTGACTTTTTCTTTATCATCGTTATCACTATAATTACCTCCTATAAGAGTCTGGGCCGTGTCTCAGTCCCAGTGTGGCTGATCATCCTCTCGGACCAACTACTGATCACCACTAACAAGAATTAGCTCGACTTTTTTTTAAGCGCACAAATGTATGTTTTTTTTTTAAGCGCACAAATGTATGTTTAAAAAAAAATAGATCATAAGATTAGCTAATCCATATTAGGCTATGAAGGAACAAACTGTTATAATCTTTAAGGTGATGCCTTAGTTACATTTACATTCCATTCCAACTTAATGCTTTCAACAAGGACACCAGCTATGATTTTTTAAACACAATATGAGGCTTCAATGCCAAATCAAAGGTTGCAAATTCTGAACAATAAATCAAAAATTATTACAAGAGAAAAACACTTTACTCAGGTCCTAAGAGAACTAACAAAGATCAAGCTTCATAGAAACACTTCATGAAATGTGATTCTTTATATATATACAGGGTGAAACAAATAACTTCAAGAACTTTCAAGATTCCATTAAAAAAAATAGACCAAGTGATGAGTATTACAATTTGGGATGATGGGTATTACAATTTCTATCCCAAATTTATCCCAAGATAATTTTCTTAGCCAATTTTAAACAACAAATTTCACACAAAAGGAAAAGCTTAATACCATGAGAATTGTATCCGTAACGGGGCATACAAGCATCCCATTCGAATTCGTAAAACATAATGTATCGACTAACGTTTACAAGTCGTAGATGATCCCCTAGTTTGAAAAACAGCACATCTAAATACTTGTTTTGAGTTATGGAGATGCTAAAAACTAGAAGCTATCTCATTATACTTGAACGTGTTAAAGAATTAGAACTGAATTATACTTGAATTTGATTCTCAAATAGACCCCTGAGGAGTTAACAATACCTATTACGGGTCCAATTCAAAGACTATGAATATATTTAAAATTGCCAAAAAAATCAGAACCTAAAGTTCAGGGGTTGAAATAACCTGCCTAGAAAAACCATTTCATGGATACCTTGAATCGAGGTTAATAACCAAAACAATATGAACTCAAACGAACTTCTTATGAAAGGTACAAGATCAAGAAAGCTATCTAAGAACTTCACTCTCTCTTGAAGACACCTTTTAATCTTTCGATAACCAACACAAAAGCACTTCAAAGAACTACATTGATACCTTCACAGGAACTGAAATTAGCTCTGTATGAAAAACTAACCTCAGGCAAGGAAATGGTAGTGGAGAAAAATATGTTCCAGAGTTTCCTCCACTTGAAGACACAGGCTGCAAACACTATGAGAATTGCCCAACTTGGGTTCTTTTGGAGTTTATCCTCCTTATTTAGGCCACTTTTGAAGAGAAATGGTTAAAATAAAGGGGAGGCTAAGAGATGTCATCATCGGGTCAGCTTTTCGAGTTTGTTTTCTAAAATTTTTGGGAACGAACTATGTATATTTCTCACCTATTATGGATGGTTGCCTGCATCATTTTAAGAACCTTGTTAGCACAACACACACCAAGAAGAGATGTTTCAGCTAATGTTCTTAGCTTGGATCTTATCTTGTGTGATAATTATCACCTCCCTGCAACCTACTGCACAGAAAAACTTCTAACCTTCTTAAGCTGGATGTCTTTCCATATCATTCCTTCTACATAAGGGAAGGAAAACTTATGACAATATGGTTTTATAAAGATGGATATCAAAGGGTCTTGTCCAATGATTCTTCCTATAAAAACATAAAATAAAATAACTTCAAAGATAAAGGCAAAAACTAATAGTTTGAATGGAAGAAAGAATAAGAAAAAAGCAGCAGGCAGAGCTCTAACAATGAGGCAGTCTGGCAAATGACAGACCATCTCAATGAACATGATATGTTACTTCTTTCAAACTACTACAACTCAACAATTTATCATGGAATAAGCCTTTTCTGAGATGATCCTATGAAGTACAAAAACAATTCAAACCTGGATAGAAGGTTAAAGCTTGATCCTTCAATCACTAAATCTACTCAAACCTCATATTCCATATAAACTTTCACAACAATGACTTCGTTCGACATAAAGCAGACAAGTATCAATTTTTTTAAAAAAAAAAGAGTATCAAAAACGAGAAAGAACTGATGTTTCCTTTTAGAGAAAAACTAAAAGCTTTGATTGTGGAATTATGAAAGAAGACAAGCAAGAATGATGAGAATAAAGCACGAAAAGTAAGCTATTCTTAACCATGGGAAAGGAACAATAAGCATAATCTACTTAGTTCAAGTAAGGGTAACATAACAATAAATTTCAATGACATTAGGAATGAGGGACTAACCATTACAAAATGGAAAATCCCAAATTAAAGTATAGTCAGGCAACATAGATTTTAAAACCTTTTCATAGTTCAACAACATAATGGGTTGGGTATTCGAATTTCTAACCTTTCGATTGAAAACCTACGACTTAACCAGTGAGCTAGTATTCAAATTTCTAACCTTTTGATCGAAAATCTACTGTCTTAGCCAATGAGCTATTCTTGGCACATAGAGATCTTAAAAACCTGTAGGCTTTTTATAAACACCGTCCCCTGGTCGATCAAAGCCATTGGTACATAAAATGCAAGACATTGTCCCATTGAAATGCAACAAGGAAACATAACGTTCAGTCGTCGTTTACAAACAGATTTTTCAAAAAAAAAAAAAAAAGGATGATAATTAACCATAAAGTTACCCATACATAATATTTCAGGGATCACGATTGACACTTAAGACAATTACAATCCAAAAACAAACAATAAATAAGTATAATTTTTAGTATATGAAATAAAAAACCACGAAGTAACAAACATCAACAAGTTACCGAACATATATATAGTCGATTACACCACTGATTTAACCGGCGCAACGTCCTCGGGGATCTTGACGTAGCCCATCTTCTTAATATTCTCCTTGTTATCATCACTGAAATCACCCTCCTCCCATAAGTCATCATACACAGAAGAGCGATGACTAAATTGGCTGGAGCACAACGAGTAGGCCAAATACATGGTGGCAGCAATGAGAGCGCCACAGCCAACGCCGAAGAGCAAAGCAACAACAACGCTGAGGATATCCTTGGTACGATCACGAAGGGAGCTGAAGTCATAAGAGAGGCCCAAAGGGAGTTCTTGAAGCGAGTGGGGTTGGGAAGCTACAAAAGCTCTATCGCGAGGGAGATCCAAGCGGAGGAGGTCGTCACCGAAGGGGCGGAAAAGGGAATCGGAAGAAGAAGAAGAAGCTGCGGCGGATTTCAACTCGGTGATGTCGACGATAATGGCCATCTCGGAGAAGGGATCGCGGGAATCAAGGGTTGGGTGGCGGTGAACGGAAAAGGAAACAAAGAGGGATTTGCAGGGGCGGGCATCGGAGAAGATTGGGAGGGAAACCGTGAGAAGAAAGAGGAGAAAGAGACGAATCATTGCTGGTGTTGACGCCATTGTTGGAGGTTTGACAAACAAGGGGAAGTTTCTATGGACAACTGAATCGTCTGTTTTCTTCTCTTTGTTTATGCAGATTTTTTTATTCCGCTTTTTAATTTATAACGCTTTTTTATTTTTAATAATTTGGAATATTTTCTAAAAAAAAAAATAATAATTAATTAATTAATTAATTTTAAATTAAGCTACCCTGTCTCATTTATAATTTATATATCCACTATTAGGATTTTCCTCGATTCCTTATTAGGGTTAGGACCAAGTGGGGCCTAATCGACGTTGTATTAGGGTTTAGCATTAGGTGCAGAAGGCCGACCTCGATTTTGTGAACTCGAGCTTTGACCTAAGTTTGTTTGATGGTTCAGTTTTTGTTTTGTTTTGTATGTTTTGATCCATTGTGTGCTCTTTTGCTTTGTTTTTATCGAGTTCTCGTGATTTAATTTCACCCATAAAATCCGTCCCCTACTACTTAATTAGGGTTTACGGTTTAACGGTGTTAAAAGATTAAACACATGGAGTCAGGGTTCGAGATTAATCTTTTTCAAGTATCTTTATGGAACAAGGGTTTTAATTTCGTCTTTTGGCTAAAAGAAATCTCGAGTGTGTGATCATGATCCCTCAAAGAGTTCCTTCAACGATCTCTTGATGGCAATATGTTCAACAAAATCAATCTTTTCATAATATAAATTGATGGATTGAAACTTCCCCTCCTGATCTCGTTCATACAGCGAAGGTCTACTTGCTCTATGAAAGCCTTAAAATCCAACCCTTTGATATCACAGGCCTATCGAAAGCCTCAAGGATTTCTATTATGTTCCCAAATTTCTTTTGGATTGTGAAAAGAACGATTTTCCATGCAAGGCTTTGCACTCGATCTCCGGTGTCAACCATCCTAATCTTGCCCTCAACTGATTCTATCACTTTTTTGTTCATCTAGTCGATCTTAGCCTAACCCCTTGGCACGGTCTGTACATCGTTTTTATCTTTGTTCCAACGTCGCTTCCCTATATATTTTGCTCATCTCTATTGAATATGATATGCAAAAGTTTCAAACACACCAACGGTTGCCAAATTCTAGACAAGATAAATGCATTTGAGCATCACGTGATAATAGTAGTTGAACTTATAACTGAGGGGAAGAACATGATCGAAAAGACAAGAACAAATAAGGTTTTATTAATTTCTTGTTGGGTTAGGACTAAAGAAGACAAAATTAGGGTTAGATCGAGATTGCACTGGCAAAAGAGTATTGGACACGACCCTTCGAGAACGGTGATTATGAGCTTGGCTTTGATCTAAAATTTTATTTTTTTTCTCTCCTTGCTCGGTAGCCCGATTCTTGTTCTAAACGGTCTCTTTAGCTAACTTTTATTATTTATTTTTACTCCATAGACACAAAATTAAAAATTAATTTTAGGGTAGATTTTTATTTTTTAAAAGTTGAATAATTTAATTTAAGTATTCAATAATCCTCCCCAAGTCCCTACGCTATAAAACCCGGTTCACAACTTCGAAGAAAACTCCGACCAGCCTTTTTACTGTTCAATTTGATTGCCCTTTTCTTTTTCCCGCTCGCTTCGACCCTTCCATGGAATTGCTCATCAGCTGTTTAGCGCCATAGAAACCTATACTGGAAAAATATGGTTTGGGGCTTCTTCCCCGTCGATCCTCTTTCAGGTGCGTTCGCTTCGTGATTTTCTAATTACTTCTTGCTGCTGTAGAACTGGTTTTCTTTTAGTTGTTCTTAGGTAACTTTTTGCGTACTGAGAAAAGCTTTATATTTATTTTCAATGCTTACTTTCTGAAGAATCGTCAGTTTTCGTTTGGTTGGACAATTTGTATAAACAAGTGCATGTTGCAGGTGAGGAAAAATTCTACATTTTTGCACCTGGGAAGTATAAAGTGGGTCGTAAAGGTACTTCGATTGTGCTAGTAGTTATCTTTGATGCAGTTCTTTTGTTTCTGGATGATAAATTTTATGGCGTATTCTTGGTTTATAATGAAATTTAGAAATATTTTTAATGTTAGTAGAAGCGATATTTCTTTTACCAGAACAATTCCTGTGCGCATTTTTTCCTTCGTCTGTGTTTGTTTTATTATATAATTATTATTAAGAAGCGGATATAGGATTAGACTGTAATTTTAATTGGTTAACTATAAGTGTACTCAATGTCCTGATGAGACCCTATCAAGGCTACTTTTGACCATATTGGCCTTACTGAGTGAGTGTCCGAGAGACCTTATTGGGCGAGTGATCCTAAGTAATCTGTGTCCTTTGAAATTGTATTCAAGAGGCAAGAGTTCAATGCTGCTATATACTCAAGTCGAAGAGTGTTAATAAAGTTGTGGGAAGGATACTACACCACCAAACGAGCTAAACTAGGATATCAAAGATGTTGCTCCACCCATAGATACCGACTTGCTAATTTCCATGAGAAAAAATGGGCTCAAAGTTTCACCCTTCGACCATGATATCCTCAATCCCACTCCTTTAAGTATAATTTCCCAAAAAGATGTCAAAGCTTCCTTACTCGCGTCTGGGGAATATTCTTAACAGCTATAGAATTTTGCAATATTTTAAAGGAATAAGGAGAAGTTTCTTATTTATTCCTCTCTCCTTTCCAGTGAGATTTGCCATTTTAGCTAAATTTGTTAGAGAGAGAAATGCGTGTGTCAAATGAAGAGAGACAAAGGGAGCTTAGGTTAGAGAAACTAGAGAAGGAGGGTCAGAGAGACTCTATAGAGGGAGAGAGAGATTAAGATAGAGGGCTTACTTGTCGCTTTGATAAGTTAGAGTGCTTGATGCTATCACTTCAAGTGAAGAATTGACAGAGGGTATTTTGACTTTTGAGGGAGGCATTTAAAATTTGACATTATGCTCTTAAAAAAAAAAATTGAAGTGCTCAGGCACCACGCCTCAGAGCTCAAGCAGGAGGGCGCACACATATATTTGTGCCTATGTGAGGCAAGGTTCCTCATGCAAGTACTTTTTTGAGGCAAAATATTATAAACATTTTCCATAATGTTTTGTAGTTGTTTATTTTCAATCATGTTGTCTTCAAAGTTCCTTTTTGTATTACATTTTTGCTGCCTTTTTCATGAGAAAAAATATTTTGAACATTCAAGAACATCCATTTAACAGTCACTTTCTTTAGCTCTCAAATCATGCTCTCAGTTGTTTGCTCATTCTGTGATCATGTTTATCCCACAGGCTGCGATTTGACTATAACAAAAGATAAAGGAGTTTCCCGCATCCATGCAGAAATAGTTGTAGATGCTATGATATTTATAAATTCCCACAAGAGTTATTTATCTAATGTTTCCTCTAAAGTGAGGATTAGTGATTGCTCCAAGTATGGGACATTTGTTAGCAGGAAATCTGGGTTGAAGGAGAAAATTCACGAGCTTCCAAAAAAAGAAGCAAGCTTGTATGATGGAGATGTGATTTCATTTGGATCTGGCAATGCAACGTACAGGTAATCTGAGAAACATTTAAATTAGTGACAAGATTTATCATTCAAGTTGCTCTCTCTGGTTAGCTCTTTATTAGAAGCAGGGTATGCTTTTTATATATGGTTTATTAGACTCATTATTAAATCCATGGCTCTCAGTTAAACCAGGTGCGGTTGCTTGCTATTTATTCAGTAAGTGATTGTTTTCTGCAAGGGCTTCTGTAAATTCTTTAATACTTCCTTTTTAGATTCTATGACAATATTCCTTTCTATATTTCCCATATTCTTTTTCTTTTTTCTTTCTACTTTCCTTTATTCTTGAATCTCAACCACTGAAGCAAATTTTTTGTGATAACTTTGTCTCCTTTACTAAGTTCCATGTTTTTGTATATCCTAATTTTTCTAGATTTTGGCTTTTACTTTTAGCTTCCATTAATATAGATGGCAAAGTTTCTTGTTATTTGTACTAAAATTTATTTTTAGAAGCTAGAAGATTTCATATGCCTTTTTGCTATTGTGAATATACATTAACATATTTTAATGCTAATATACTTCTTGGTTTCTATAAAAAAAAAAAAGAAAAGAAAAAAAAAAGGAAACATTACCATTTTATAGTCAAAGAAACTTTACTTTCTATCTAACACCCAATACGCTTGAAAACCTTATTATCCTACAAACAAATCTTGCAGGTTCTCCTTTGTGCAACTTGTGTTTTACGTTCACCATTCAGTGTCTTTCCAATTCCAGCTGCTGAGGGACAAGGTTTCATCCATAGGTCAGTCATAAAGAAGTTGCCGATCTTCTTTTACTTCACCTATGAAAGGAATTCTTATCTGATTAATAGAAGTTCCAATTTTCCAAGGTTTCTTATGTAACTGCTTAGTTGCTTTATGTTAGCATGTCCTAGAACAAACACTTGAAAACTCTAAATATGACCTTAAAGACATGTTGAATATGTTACAGAATATGAGGAAAAACAGGGGAGAATACTTAACCCTATTCATGTGTGGAACTCTCAACTTAATAGCATGGTAAATTTAAAGAACGGAAAATAACTAAAGGAAGGTTTGTTTAAATTAGGGATAAACTGTGAAAAAGATAAAAATAAAAAATAATAACAATACATTATTAGCACACAAATAACGAGCTGCTATATACATCCTTACACTCTTTTCTTTTAATATATGAAAATCATCTGTCTTGGTGTTTTACAAGATAAGAAAAATTTGAGACTGATTCATTTTCCAAAATCATCTGGCTTCTAATAAGTTGAAATGTTTACGAGGCACGTTTATCAATGAGCTCTGCATTATTGATACTGTGATCCCGTCAATCAAGTTCACCATCACTATTTATTACATTGTTTATGCTGCACAACATCTACTCATTCTACAAGTTAAATCTACATTGAAGAAAGTGAATTAGTTTGTCGTTTTGGTCGAATTTGAAGAGTGTATATTTAAATGTAGGTGCTTCTACATCTCATGATATTCGGGAGTGTACGCATGTGCTTGTAGAGGAACTGATGCCTTTTGATGAAGCTCTAGTTGACGCCATAGTGGCTGAGAAACCTTTTGTTATCACAAGTTGGGTTGAGGTAAAAATATGCTTCATATATTAATTGTTTCACTGTGATGCCAAGTTCTGTCATCTTGTTCACCCCAACATTACGGAGGAACCTGATCTTGAGAATAGAAAATTACAGTGCAATTGTATTAAGATATAAAAGGAAAATGACAATATTAACCCCAGGCCCTTATATAGGCATGGCTCTCCCAAGGAAACTACATTCCAAAATTCTAATTGAATAGAACCCTTTGATTATAACGACCCTGCCCCAACTACACTAAGTAATTACTCAAATATTTTTCTCCTTTAGATTCCTAGTTTTAGGTATCCTTGACAATTTTTCATGTACATCATTGTTAAAGTCTAGCAAGGATAAACATAATTTACAACTAGAAAGTGTACACCTATATGGTAAATACAAATAATGGAACACGGAAAAAACGAGGAACAAGTAGATTTTTTCTTGGAGATCCTTGGAGGAGCATCCTCATGACTCTCAACAGGCCTATTAGTTTCTTTTGCTTTGGCTCTATTAACAAACTTCAGTTCAACCATCTGCAAAATTACTTTACGAAAATCTGAAGATTCTTTATGCTTTTATTTTTATGTTGACCATCATCATGGATCAAGAATGACTTTGATTACCACTTTGTTGAATAAAGAAGTTACTTCAATTTGTTTTAATCTATGCACAGATCAACGCCAAGCATTATCATTATTTACAGTTGTGTTTGTTTTTTTTTTTTTTTTTTTTAAGCAACTGAGTTTTCGTTGAA